GTCTCATTTGACAAATGAAAATCCTAAACTTTGTTAGTACATATCAACACTCAAGTTATCAAAATAACATGAAAAATAGTACATGCCCCAACTCTCTCCATCATTGAACCATCTAATCCCAATCGCTTAACCCTGTCCAGCTTCCTTTCTCAAATGTCTTGAGTAGCTTCATCTTTTTGATGATGCATGTAAATTCTAATATGTTTAGTGTTCTTCTCTTATGCTACAAGTGATAGTGTTGAGGACTAACCTCTAAACTCCTTTAGGGTTTAGGGTTTAGGGTAATGAAACACTATGTTTTCAGCCAGTATTGCCCAACCTAAGGAAGATTTTTACCAGGAATATTTATATTTATACCACTAGTTCCTATGTATTTACATATCTAACACCTAAACTTTAATTTATATATGTATATATGCCCCCTTACATGTACATGAAAATGTCTATTTCACTTTTTGAAAGTTAAAATAGGGTTTTTTTATGTGATATTAAAGATTTGAGCGGTATAAATGTAAAAAAAACAGAGCTTAGGTGTTATATATGTAAATATTTAGTAATTGGGTGTTATGTATGTAAATGCCCCATTGTACAATAGTTATTAGTCCCTCCAAGCCCCCTTTTTTTATTGCACATTTTTCTGTCCGGTCACCGTATTTGCGGACAACGGGCGAGATGCAGCGGTGACCGGACCGGTCACCGTATGGACTGTACTTGCGGACAACAGACGACCGGTCACTGCTGCATCTCGTCCGTTGCCCGCACATACGGTGACCGGACAGGAAAAACACTCCTTTTTTATTGAGTTCATCAGCAGTCTTTAAGTCTTCTGAGATTTTGGGAATGTATGTTTATTTTAGCCATTTAAGAAGATTAATATTAAAAGAAGAATGAATATATTGAAATATTTAGTATTTTAGTCATCCAATTAAATGAAGAATAGATTTAATCATGAAACATTATATTTATCATTAAACACATTATTATTATGAAGTATTCATGAATTATTGAATTATTTTATGAAATTAATTCAACTCAAACTTTGAGTTGAAAATATTATATTAGTTGAAAAAAAAATTAAATATTTAAACATTCAAAACATAGCATGATATTGCATTAAAAATAATTTCAAATGTGTTAAATGTAGGGTTTGATAAATTTTATATATGAGAGAAATTAAAAAAGCATAAATTTAATTATTTATGTGAGCTTATTAATTTTTAAAATTAAATATATATTAGATATCTTATGGGGGGTTCTAAGATCTTGTGGAGGGGCAAGAGGTGGAAGGAAGATTAAGGTCAGCTTAGAAGTAGTTTTAACCCTAAAGTCGATTGATTGTTTTCAAGCGGTGATAGATTTCTGATCGGCACTATGCGTCTGGCAGCATGATGCGATCCACTCCGTCGAACGTACGCCTGATTTACCAGACGTAATATTATCTGCTACACCTTTCTCTTCATAAAAGGCTATTAATACTACTTGAGTCTTTCTTTTCATTTTAATTCGTGCAATTAAGCCTGCATCAAAGATTTTTTTCATAAATAAATTATATATCTCTAAGATTCTATTTAGGCAAAAAAAAAAAAAAAAAAAAAAAAAAATTTTTTTTTTTGAAAAAAATGGTAAATCTTCCAAATCTAAAATTTATTATATTAAATGAAATTTTATTTAGTTTGCATTAAAAAATAATTATTTAAATATCATATTGATGTTTAATATTTATTGAAAATTATATTTAATTATTATATGACTTATGTGATTTATCATGAATATTTTGGTAGCATTTTTTTATTATATTTAATTCTAAATCGCTTAAATGTGAGATGACTGACCAAGTGATTTTAGTGATTTTGTTTAATTTTAGTTTGCATTTAGAAAATGAAATCTATGGTCAGTTCATGCATTTTAATAAAAATAATAAAAAAAGAAGGGAAACTTGACCTTGAAAAATTTAAATTAATTTTTTTTTAATTTATATTTTTTTATTTTATGAAGTCACATACACCATTATATGAGTGAGGCTTTGAATTCAAGATCTCATGGTTAAAAAAAAATCATCCAACAACTAGGCTAAAATCTTTGCATAAATTAATACAAAAGTTTAATTTAGTGAAAGATTATGGAAATGATTTAGTCTAAATGTACTTATTTCTCATTATTATCATTAATATTCATGCACTTTCAGTAAAAACGAGGGTATGTTAATGTACGACATGAAGTTGTTGGAGCCGTTGTTGAGTCAAAAGAGCCGCCGCCGTCGAAGTCATCATCATCGAAGTCATGACAGTAGCCAAGAACCCATCCCACCCCCAATGTTATCCCAGCCGGTCGGCTATCCTGGCCAGCTAACTTTTCAACCGGTCAGATATATTGGGTCTGTTATTCTACCCCAGCCGAACGACCACCCTGGCCAACCACTTCCAGTGAGCATGTATTAGGTCGGCCACCTTTAGTAGGTTGGTCGCTTGGGCCGGCCACAAAAGACCATCTGGCCGACCACCTCCAATAGGTCGGCCACATTTGGTCGGCTGGCCATCTCGGCCGACTACCAGCAACTAGCTTGCCACCTCTGGCCTGCTGACGACATCGGCGAGTTTTAACGATGGAAATGCCCTAAGTCATGAGATCCAAGCAAGGAAAGGACTAAATACCTCTACTGCCCCCATAAAGTAAGGGCATTGTTGTAATCATCTATTACCTCTCTCTTACTATAAATAGATGACACTTGGCATGTGTAAGGGTCTCTCTCTCTCTCTCTCTCT